CAAGGCGTTGAAGCATTTACCATAAAGTTCCCTGAAACATGAAGCCGAAAACAATTTCTAATTAATCGTTAGGCCATGAGCTTTCTCATTTTCAGTTTCTCAGTTTCTTTGTTTCTTTGAAATTGGGTCAAATTAATTGAACATGGCCGAGCCAAGGGGTCCCATAGAAAAGATAAATTAGGTAAAGTGCTTGGGCGATGGGCTTATAGAAAATCTGGCCAAAAGCTCTCTCGCCTAATTAAAACGGAAGTGTAAAAAAAACGACTAGAATCCGGACAATTTGCAGCAAAAAGTCACAAAAAAAAGAAAACTTAAGCTGGCACATAAACAATGTCTCAAACAACGTTTTGTGTTAATCTTGACAAATCCAATCAACACTGCGTGCACAAGCATTTAGAGATAAGCATTTGGGCAAATTGTTTATACATTTTCGAAGGCAGAACTACAATATTGACCAGAATACATATTGGTAATATGGAAAAAAATTGTATTTAAAATTTCTGAAAGGCAATCAAAGTTCACCTCATTGTCAAATCATACAACTAATTAGTGGTTTGAAAATTGCAAAGCCAACCACAAAACCGACACAAATCGACAACACCAAAAGCCAACAATTGGTATGGCTAGTGTGCATATTACTAATTAGCAGAATTGGCTACTATATAAATTAATTCAATTCCGACAGCAAGCTAATGAGAGCATTTTCGCTCCTGAAACATTATGGATGCTGACATTAAAGCGACAAATAGGGAAAGGAAAAACAAGCAAATGTGTCAGTGTCATTGTCAGTCGCAGAGAAAATACACAAGGACACAAAAGGACACGTACAGGGGCCATAATTTACCGGGAAACAAGAGCCCATGAAATGGGCGCCAGTCCATAAATTATGGCACTTCCACTTCCCACACCAAACTGAATCTGATACTCGATTCCCAGTTAACTGCTGACCTTTAGGCTTTTGGCCATATCTGAAATAATTAATGAACAGGCTTTGTCGTAACGTTTTCTTTTTTTTTTTTTTGTATTTTAACACGCTCTGCGAAATTGATATGCAATTATTTTACATTTTATACTGTAATCAAATCACCTTTAACAACGATTTGTTAGTGTCGGTGAAAGGACTCTGATGGCTAAAGGCATGATATAGAATCCTAAAGCGGTAGTCGCGACATCCGCATTATAGATTATTCAAAACATGTTAACTCGTTCAAACCTTTTTCTGGGTGCCTGTTATTAACACTCACTGGGCAGCCATATACCCGTACGAATAAAAATTTCGGGCTTGTGGTCAAAATGAAATGAAGCTGATGTGCTATTGGACTATAAAATGTGGCCAGCCAACTGTGAAAAACAAGGAAACAATGACAGGACGATGAGCCCAGCGGTGCTATGAAATTTAAAGGCATTTTAGTTATGCAAGTTGAATTATTCACACCTCCGAACTCACTCACTAAGGGCAAATATATGTAGTTTTAAAAGCTTTGTTTTAAAGATACATTTATTTAAACTAGGCTAGGAAAAGTATTTAAAACTTAAAGACTTAAATGCTACTTATCTAGTATTATGCCTAGCAACTTAATTGGCTAACTAACTTTGACCAATAACATAATAACTGATGCAATATTTAAATGAAACTGTATATATTAAATTACGTTATGCAAAAAGTTATAGTAATAAAAATAAATTCTATTCAATGAATACAATCATAAAACAAATTAAATTCATAAACTAAGCTGGGAATTTGTTCAGCTCAACGTTTTGTAACTTACTGCATAGTTAACAATGTCATAAACATATAAAAGATTTACGAGGAGGCTGCCAAAAATTGTGTGCTCAAAATTGACATAAAGGATAAAAGCAAACGACCAAAAGGTAAAATGTTCGCGCAATTGGCACCAATCCAAATAGTAAAATGGAAATGGCAACTGACACTGGATGTCAACCTATTTTTTTTCTTATTTATTTCCTTCTTTTTCATTTTCATTGTTGGTGTCGCAATGGTGACCGTAGTCAATAGCAGCAGGAGGTAAAGGGACGACCTAAAATAGGTTTTTCTCTTAGGAAATTTACGGCCACAGGGTCCTGTGATGAGAAATAAATTAAATTCCAAATATGTTTTATTAAAAATCGTTTTACATTATTTTATGCTTTAATTATAATATAATTTTTTTGTAATGCTTGTACGCGTAGATAAAAATTATTTTTAATTACCCAGCAAATAAGGTGCATGATTTTAGGAAAAAAGTAGTAAGAAATATTTTTTATTTAATGTATTCAATTATAAATTTAATATACTACCACGTTAGCACCCTGTATTGGAAAAATTGAAAAGAAAACGAAAGTTGATGTTGCGAAATATTGCCGAAGAAATTGCCCTCAAGGGTGTTCGGATGGCAGAAAAGTTTCGAATTGCCAAAAGTTGATTATATGCTTCAAGGCGTTCGACTCGATTGGATATTTTTTTCTGGTCTATCTGTCTCTAATTTAAGTGTGTTTTCGTGAGTTGTGTAAAGTCTTCGGCAAACACTTCTACCGGCTATCGAAGAGGAGTCAGCAGCGGAAAATGTACCACAATTTTTGGGCTGCTCATAATTTTATGCAAATGAAATGCGCACAGCCAACATTTTGCGGTTTTTCTCTGCCTCACTATGTGCCTACTTGAGCCTCACTAAAAGAAGAGGGACCGTGAGACGTGACGGGATGGAAACTGCACAGAGAAAAATAATTTACGCAAGCTATGACACTTCAAAATGTAATTTCTATAATAATATCTATTTAAGTTTTTAAGAATAGCAACCATTAAAATTTAATAAGCTGATTTATTTATCTTAGGTTATCAACAACCTCAAAATAGGAATCAGTATTTTTAAGAACCTATTTTAAACAATTTTGTTCACTGTAAACCTAACCACACACGAGTATTCCAGCTTCTCATCCGGCAGATACGTGTTCTACAGCTGCCACAATTACGAGAACATTATCATGGAAGGTTGTGGAGGATGGTTGCCCTCAAAAGTATGCTCATAATTTAGCCAGCTTGCAGTAGCCAAAGCTTGGGAAAAAAATACCTGAAATGCCACTACTGAACAATTTTTTTTGCATTCCACCCTTTGTCAGTGCAAACTGCAGGCAACTGCACTCCAAAAGGGCCCTCCATCATACGCTCCTCTAGTTGTTGTTTTTACACCTGGCATTTAATTGGTAGGCGGGTATGTTAAATTTATGGTTATCCAGTTTAAACACAGACTACTTATATGCGAATATACAGACGTGTTTTAATTACCCTTTTACTTTTCATAATATAGTAATTAATTGGTAAAGCTTTTGGCCGGAAATATATTCTCAGATTAAATAATTAAAAATGTTTAAACAGTTTTAAGTTTGTTTTAATGCCATTTAATATTGTCTTGGCGATATAGATTTAAAATATTGACGAAAATAATAAGAATATTTTTATATTTACCGCAAACTAAATCCTACATCTTTTTAAACATCAATATTCTTAAATCAACTTTAAAGTTGTCAATGTAAATAGTAACTTATGTAAAAGATTTTCCACAAATCTGATCTATGAGGTGTAAATACAGTATTAAAAGATTAAGGGAATATATATTTAAAGGAAGATGCGACTGCCGGGTAACGTACAGTCGGACAACTCAAACTTAATGTTGTTACTGGCGTTCTGTGTAAAAGTAAAACGATGTTGAGTTCATTAAAAATTTGACTAAGTGCGTTGTCATCGTCATCATGGCAACCTCTGACCCTGTCTCCCCATGACCGTTTTCTGGTGCTTGGCATCCTGCACGTCCTTGTCAGAAGTCCTGTGTGTGTATACACGGATGTTTCGGTGAGGACCCGCTACTGATGTGCGGTAGACGCGCATGAATTTTGTCGTTTCGCATGTGTGCCTGTGCTTTTTTCGGTTTTGCGCTAACCGAAATTGGATTTTGTTGCTAAACGCAGGATGGATGGTTGAACCGGGATTATGGCAAGATGATAGTCCCCCAAAGTCTGTTTTTGGGGTTCATGAAATATGCAGGCGGCATATGATTGTGACTCGGCAATTAATAAGCCACCCGGTGAGATACCACTCAAGTGGGAATTTAAATGAAATGGGATTTAATTTTATTTAATATACAACATTAGAATCGAATATTGTTCTGTTTAAATGCCTTATGGTGATTTCTTAAATGCTGCGAAATTATAGTTATTTGTTTTTATTTAGGGGCAAACAATAAACACATTATTCAAAAATTTAAAAATGTTAACAAATTCTTTAATTAAAAGCAATATTGGGATAGAATTATTTGATTTACTTGGAATTCATTCTACATGCCAATATAATAAAATAGACTTGAAAATTCTTTGGTAAATGTTTGATACAACACAATAAATTCCTGATGTCCTACGGTTTTCATACTTTAACACAGGCTATAAAACTCGCACACAAATAACAATAAAAATGTAATAAAGCTATTCACACCAAGATCTTAAAATATATCATTTAATCATCTCATTTGCTAGAAATACCGATAACAATTGAGTTCACAACTTCTCGCCCCAAAACACAGAACACAAAAACCTCTATAAATAAACCGTTACCCAAAAAAAAACAGAATCTCAACAAAGCTATGAATAATATCCATAGGCATCGAAAAACAGTTCTGAAACTTGGGGTGTGAGAATCTCGATAATTCTCTTCTCGGAAACTCTTCAGAAAATAAGCGGAATACCCGCCTCTCTGTTGTGAATATGCGGCACAAAGGAAAGGCGCGTGGGAAATTCAACGGATTCCCTCGTGACAAAATCAATAGATAAAGGAAAACCGACAAGCACAGCTGTTCGCTACATTCAAAATGTAAACAAGGAGAGTCACTAAAAATAGGACTCTCTTTTAAGAGAGAAATCGAGTGAGGGCAGGATTGAAGAGAAAGAGCAAGCATTTTGGGTATGCCAGAAATTCGATTAAGTTTTTCCCATTTTTCAGTTGCTCACAGCTCTTCCACGTCGTCGGCTCGTGGCACGGAAAAAGGAAAAGCGCGGAAAATTATAAATTCGGCCGTCCACATACACACACACCCAAATATATACACAGACGACGGTGTGTTCCATATGTGTAATCAAATCGTTCGGAGCCCCGCCGTTTATATATAGAAAATTTCAACGCACGCTGCTTTGAGGGAAACTAAAATACGAAAATAAATTACGAAAATCGTGGCCACTTTTCAGAGGCATAACCAAATGTATAGAATCGCGTTTTCCACGGGGTCGCGTTAATCGCAGTTATTATCGTTATTATTATTCGCATTACGCATACGCCCCGTGTGTCGGTCAGTCTGTGTGTGTGTGCGTGGTGAAGAGCGAAAAGAAAAGCTCTGCCGGCGTCGCAGTCGACGTTGCGACTCCACCCTAAATTGTATATCAATTTTGAAGGGGTTTTGACGGGTTTTTCGGAGTGTGTCGCCCGCTTGACCGCAAAACGGGGCCAAATGTCTCGATATAGTCCATACAAGCGATACCAGTGAAAATCAAATCGAACCGCCGCCCGAGAAACTACTTAAAAAAAACAAGGAAAATGCGAGAAAAATGTTTGGTTTATGCGAAAAGTTGATGACACATTTCGCTGTCATTTTGACCGCATTTTTCCTCTCCCAGCCGCTGTTGTTGTTGCTGATTTGCGGGCCGCATGGCGGCACCTCCCCCTCGACCTCCACCCACTGGGCGGAGGCCTCGGCGGCGGATGAAGCGTAAGTCAGCCACCCTTCAGGTGGAAATTGGTCAGCAGCTTTGTATTTACATTTAACGGACACGCAAGGATTCCGGAATCGGGGGCTTTGAAAACCAGTCAATTAGGGGCGTGCATGCCGCCCTCATCTCGTTGTCAACGTCGCTCGTTAATTTTTCGTACATTTTATGCTAATTTTGTTGGCAGCCGCCGCTCCTCGAGCGCTTTTCTTTTCTTCTACGTGGAATTCCCTGTAGGCATTAAGTGGGTTTATTGGACTGCGGGCTATGAATGGGCTTATGTTCACGCACAGCAAATATACGTTGAGTGGTTACCTAGAAAGTACTTATTAAAATATTATTAAATTGAGAAATTATGAATTACAACTTTATAACATTAAAACTTTACTTAAAATAATTATTATGATTTTTCCAGATTTTTCTTTAAATCAATAATAAAAAATAAAATGATTATGCTTCAATGTGGGTTAAAAGTCATTATATGCTCAATCATTACATTTATAAAGCAATTTCTTTCGGAAGTCACTCGTGAATTGCATATGAGTTAGTATTTTCATTTTCAGCAGAGTCTGACCTTTGAATCCGCTCATTCCCTGACTCTCAATCGACCAAGTGATTGATTAACTTCTTAGAATTTAGCTTACGTTGCTTTAAGGTGAAAGATATGCAAATGTTGTTGATGTGCTTCATATATATGTTTGTGAAAGCTGTTTAATCCAGTACCTGTGTTCCATTGAATAATACTTTATTAAAGTTGACCAAAAAATCTATATAAATAAATAAAATTTCAAGAACACATTTTGGGTATGATATTCAGTTACTCTGATATTTTATAAATTAAAGGGTGCAATTTTATTTAGAGTGTTCACTTGTTAAATTATTAACTTTTTTTCTGGGTATTCTCAAGGTCGAGTCAAATCCCTTTTATTGCGCCATTTCGCATTGCGTGTTTAAGCGACTTGTCTTTTGCTTCGAACACTTTTATTCTACTTTGTGCGTCAGCTTTTTTTTACCCACAGTTACTCATTCCTTTCCTCTAGATTTTTCTCTCCCTGATATTTCCCTTGCTCGAGGGTCGCGACGCTTCGCAAATTTTGTTTTGTGCCTCAAGTTTCTCATAAAATCACATCAAAATTATTTGTCTGACATGCTGACTTTGGGTATGACGTGAACAGGTAAAGTCGGTAGAACCTGTGACGCCTATTTACGCTAAATGAATATTTTATTGCACATTCTGTTTGGGGCCGCCAAACATCATTTCAAAAGTTAAGCAATTAATTAAAGTAAATAGGGGACCTGGGGAAGCCAAGTTTGTTCTGTTTCATTGTAAATCCTTTTGGGTAATGTTTGCAAAATACATTATATAGGAATATTTTTATTTAATTAAATGCGTCGTTATAAGTATATTTGTTTCGTCTGATTGTACAAAAAAAAAATTGTACCTAAATTCAGTTTTACTTTTATAAATATATCCCTTTGAAGAAATACGCTTGATTTAAAAGAAACCCCATACAGCTGAGATCAGCAACCAAAAACTGAAATGACTCATTAAAAGTTTAGCAAGGCCGCATAAATTATAATAAAGTAAATGTCCAATTAGCCAACTACATCATGAGATGATAAATAATCAAATATTAAAGACCAAAAAGCCCCATAATAAAATTTACCCAACCAAATTAGCGCTACTAAATAGCCACAGAATTGTGGGCTGGACAAGAGCGGAGGCAGAAAATCGTTTAATGTCCGTTCGCATTACAAAGAATATTTAATGGGAAATTGGGTTTTTTGGCGCATTGCAGCATGCTGAGCATTACTAGAATATGGCTATTTATGCCCGGGGGAACCGTAATAAAAATTCAATCTAAAATTTAAAACATTAAAGTTCAGCTCAGCAAGTCTTATGGAAAATATGCACAGAAATAAAAAGTTTCGGTTTGCACCACAAATTTCTTATTTTGACAGGCTCGTCTAAAGTTTAGTTCTAATTTGATATATAATTATGGTTTTTAAATAGAAATAGTGCTTGATTTTGTATAGTCCTTGGGCACGCTTCGCTTACTTGTAGTATCATTAGCGAATGTCTTAAAAAAACACTGCTACATTTTTTAAATAAGACACAGATTGTTTTCTTTTATAAAGATAAAAAGTTGGATAAAGAAAGGCTAAGCTCAAGATTAAAAGATAATGAATATTTGTATATTTAGTGCTTAGAATTTAAATTAAAATAAACAAAATTGAGCGGACACGGGAAATATATCAATTTCAAGATTTGTTTTACGAAATTTATTATACGAACCTTAAAATAAATTGTTATTTGTCAAGAACATGTCTTAAAATTATTTTCTTTAAGTGTCTTGTCAATGCTTTTGTGATACCGAGATTTTATTTTCGGTAAATAATATATTTCCCCCGAGCGATTGTGTTACATATTTCCCGTTTTCCGTGGTCGAGGCTAACAAGGGCCATCTAAAACAATGACGGACGAGATACGACAAAGCAATGTGGCCAAATTAATAGAACAACTCCAGAACGTAATAAAAGCCAGAGAGGAGGCATCATTCATTTGCCAACTACCAACCAGCGACAAAAACAATTTTTCCAAAGCGCCGACCGGGCCAAAACACTTGAGGGTATCTGTGTGCGTTCGAGGGTGTTTTAGGGGTACTTTGGGGTGCTCCGCGGGGCTGGCGGAATAACTGTGTCAAAGGCAACGTCGGCGACAGAAGTGAAATGAAAATGGCCGAAACAGCGCCGCCGGCAGAGTCGGCGACATCAAAAGCCACGTCAAGAGATTCCCGCACTCGAAAAGAGCCAAAGAGCTGGATGATATAGTGCGGTCATGCGCAGGCACCCGATGCCTTTAAATGTTTATAGTAAATGCTAAACTCTCACGCGAACAGTTGCCAGGCCAGTGCATTTAGCTAGGCGCTACAGGCTCGGATATTCATGGGTTCTCTAAAATACACTAACCACTAACACTAAACGTCCATAAATAACAATGGTTTATTACCAAGAACGCTGCTATCTATTTGTCCCAGCATAGGATGGATTATCAACATTTGGTTGATAAAATCTTTTAATTGTTATTTTAATATATATAAATTTAACAATGATTAATGTACTACAAAAAGAGCCACTTTGGCACAACAATTGATTTTAGTCTACTACACCAAATCTGCCCAAAAAATTAACAAACAAAAATAAACTAATTTTAAAAAATTGTTCTTTAAATTCAAAAGTAAAAGGTACAATTTTTTACATTATGTTTTCAAATAAATAATTTGTATATATCATAACTGATACAGCATTTTCGTGTTTTCAAATAAATAATTTGTATATTTCATAACTGATACAGCATTTTCGTGAGTGTTTTTTAGCCAATCAGTTTTAAAAGGTAATATTTGTAAAAATTAAAGTTACATTGGGAAGAGTTAAGAGCTAAAATGCCAAAACAAATTAGCTTAGTGTTGGTTATACTTAATAAATTTCCTTAAATCTCAGTTAATTACTTCCGTAATCCGCGCAAGCAGTAACTTTTCGTTTATGAAAGGGTGTTAGAGTAAGTGATTACGGTACATAGACTTTTAAAGAGAAATAAAAACATTATACCACTACGTTATGTAGACGTTTTCTTGAACAGCTTAGCCCCTGAACTTTTAAAATCAACCATTAAACTTTTTATTGCTTATCGCATGCATTAACTAATGGAATCGCCTGAAACCACGCAACTATTTAAGAGAAATCCTTTTTTAAGAGAGGCATGGAAGAGAGGCGAAGAGAACGAAGGTGCGCGCGCAGCCACTTGTTGATTTCTCAACATCGAACAGCTGTTCGAGGTGAAACGTCGACTGCGCTGCCAGGAAGACGGCATTGTCACCTCTTTGTGGTCAGGTGTATAAGGTGCAAGGAAGGCGTTTCCGACGACGACTGTAAACACCACCCACCACCCACAAACCCAAATCCACCACCCACCGCCCAACACTTCCCCTACACACAACATGTGCGCTAATTGAATTAGTGGAGCTCGGACAGGTGGTTGACATCTCACTTGCGCAACTCTGACGTCGACAAAGTGTTGTTTACTGTTTTTCCTTTAATGGGAAAACACTTTACAAGGAAAGCTTTTAATTGGGCTGTGTTTCCGTTGACCACAAAGAAACCAAGCTACTGTGGGAGATTAAATAATTAATTAATGGTTAGGGATTTAAAGGCTTAGACGTTTGTAACAATTCTTTTAAAAATTATTTGTTTTGTTTTATTAAAAAATTTAATTTTTAAAAGAAATACTTCAATAAGGCATTTGCTTTCTTTGGCCATAAATTCATCAATTGACAATTATTTACAATAATTAGGTTATTTTTGACCGAAAAATAAATAAATGGAAATCAGTCATGATCGAAAATCACATGTCTAACATTTAATTTCATAACGTTGATTGATCTATTCTTCAGTGCGTTAGAAACGTATGAAGATTATAAATATTTACTGCTTTAAAAAAAATAATAAAAATAGGCTTGTACCTGTTTTAAAATTCTTTCATTATATATGGCTATACTAAACATGTTTTACCATGGTTTTTATTCCTCTTTTTTTAAGTGGGACTTCCCCATAACCCAGTAAAGGTTATTTACAGAGTTTTTCCCCTTATTTACAGCGTTGGCAAATGGGCCACGCAGTTTGGCGACGAGCTATTCCTGCTGGCCCAGAAAATGACCAAGTCGCAGGAGATCAAGGAGAAGTACAAGGAGTACAATGCCCGCGTGGAGCTGAAGAATGGCACCGAGTTGATCAAGTCGATCACGAAAAACGTGGGCAGGATGCTGGCCAGGAAGATGGAGGCGGTGCGGTGCATCCAGGAACGGGCGGAATATGTGAACGAGAACTTTGAGTTTAATAGCACCTATGCCCTGCAGAATTTCACCTATATATCTAGCAAATATTCGACCTTCAACAATAAAAGTTTTGACACCCTGGAACCGAATGAGGCCGAGTACGCCTGGATGTATCGAGAGATGGACTTGAATCCGGACACGCACTTCTACAATTCGCCGGTGGACACAATGCACAGTTCGGTGCATGTGCCCTCGAATGTTTGGGATCGCTCGAAACGGGTACTGAAGACCATCATGTGGTCCGAGCATCTGGACGAGGTCTTCCGGCAGAATTATCAGTCCGATCCGGCCTTATCCTGGCAGTATTTCGGTTCCGATACGGGTATCCTGCGGCACTATCCGGCTGCCCAATGGACGGACACCAATTCAAACAGGGATGATGCCGATACCTACGATTGCCGAAAGAGATCCTGGTATATTGAGACGGCCACCTGCTCGAAGGATATTGTCATCCTGCTGGATCATTCGGGTTCGATGACGGGTTTCCGGCATCACGTGGCCAAGTTCACCATTCGCAGTATATTGGACACGTTCTCGAACAATGATTTCTTCACCATTTTACGTTACTCGAAGGAGGTTGAAGACATCATACCCTGCTTTAACGGAGCCCTCGTCCAGGCCACGCCCGAGAATATAGGGGTCTTTAATGACGCCATCGCCAACTTGGGTGATCCCGAGGATTATGCTAATCTCACTCTAGCCTACGAAACGGCCTTCCAACTCCTGCGAAAGTATTACGACAGTCGGCACTGCAGCACCAATTCCACCTGCAATCAGGCCATAATGCTGGTCACCGATGGTGTGGCAGGGAATACCACCGATGTCTTTCAGAAATACAACTGGGGCAATGGCGAGAACGGCACCTCGCGGATGAACACTCGTATTTTCACGTATTTGCTGGGCAAGGAGGTCACCAAGGTGCGCGAGATCCAGTGGATGGCCTGCCTCAACCGGGGGTACTACTCACATGTCCAAACCTTGGACGAGGTCCACGAGGAGGTGCTCAAGTACGTCGACGTCATTGCCACGCCCCTGGTCCTTCAGAACGAACAGCATCCGCCCACCTGGACGCACGCCTTCACCGACAAGACGGTAAGTTGCATAAAATAAATAGAATGGACTAAACTCATTGTAAGTTATAGTTACAGATAATCCTACCGTTTTATAACCTTTATATAAAACATATTTAAAAAAACTTTTTTTGCAATAATAAATCATTGTTCATTATTGTTTATTAAATTATCAACTCCAAGTAGAAAGTACTTACGTAAAATGTGTTTAAGTGTTACGTTATATTTATCCAATCAATATTAAAAGTGGCAATATAAATTTTGTTCAAAATACTACAGACTTTTAGCTTCAAGAATTAATTTCGGGCACCAACATATTCAACCCTAGCTAAAAATTTGTGGAGAATTGTATAATATATGTTTTCGTACAAAATAGGAAATCGTTTTAAGTAAATATGAATTTTGTTTATTTGTTCTGAAATTCCATTAAAATATTTTTCAAAGGTTCATAATTTTTTGTTCATGAAATTTTTTTAATGATTTTTTTTCTGTAAATGCCGCTTTGTTGATTTAAAATAACTTAGTACGGTTTCAAAAATGATGATGTTGTTTTATTTGTGTACTGTCAAGGGGGTAAAATGTATTTTACTTAAATTAGATCACCATAAATTTCTAATTACCTTACCTATTTATTTCCCAAATCAGTACGATCCCAAAACCTCAACTGACCGACGACCCCGCTTAATGATAGCTGTCGGAGTGCCGGCCTTCGATCGCTTCTATCGCCATGCCAATACTACGAATCCGAGGGCACGTTTGTTGGGCGTCGCTGGAACAGACGTGCCCGTTGAAGATATAGACAAGCTGACACTACCCTACAAGGTGGGTTAAGAGATACTTACCAAAATAATGCATACTATATGACAATAATTTCCAGTTGGGTGTTAATGGCTACTCCTTTGTGGTTTCAAACAATGGATATGTTTTACTGCATCCCGATCTCCGCCCTTTGGGGGTAAGTTTAGCTTATAAATTTCATAGTTTCTAAATGTTTAAAATTTGTAATTATTTTATTTATTTTCTCCAGACCAATGGCAAAATGAATCCGAACTACAACAGCATTGACTTCACCGAAGTTGAGCATCTTTTTGAGGACAAGAATCCCCGGGAACCGGGCGAATCCATTCTGAATATCCGCAATGCCATGGTGCGACACGAGAGCAATGAGTTCAAGGACATATCCGTGAAGTTTCACTACGACACAATGCGTCGTGTTTCCGAGGAGAAACAGGACTACTTCTTTGCCCCTTTGCCGAACACCCCGTTCACTTTGGGGATCGTAATGCCCAGCGAATATGGCAAAACCTGGATTAAGGTGGGTGAGGAGGTGGACAAGAATAGGCACATGAAGATCAACATACCGGATTTCTTTATGGGTGATAACTGGAAGGTTCATCCTGATTGGTGTGTTACAATTATTCTTAACTGAGAGTCCACTACTATAAATATGATTCATTTTAAACAGGGTGTATTGCAAGTACCACTATTTGGAGGGCCATGAGTTTAAAACACCTGAGGATGAGTTGCGCGAGTTTTTGGGCAAGATGGTTCCAAATGATTGGAAGTGGCCGGAACAATATGCCGAAGACGAATCCGATTGGGATGACAAAGATGATCGTAAGTATCCGAATTGTTATGGAAACATTTCATAAAAACTTGATTATATTTTTATAAAAATCGGTAATGGTTAATTTTAAGCGCTTTTAAATGAATTAACAAAATAAATCAGTAAAACAAAAATAGTTTTCTTAAGTAAACCCGTGCATCCTTGGGCTAAAGTAAAACAACAACTGTTAAATAAATGATCATATTGTAAGATTAGGGATTTTAATTTTGGTCACAAACTATTAAAAAAAACTTTACAAAAATGTATTAATAAGTCTGGGAGCAAGTTAATGCAAAAATATATTTATATATATTTATATATTTAATGCAATATTTTGAGGAACAGCAACAATAAATCCGTATATAAATGGAACAGTTAGAATAGAAATTAAGTTGGCAATACTCATATGTAAATTCCAGGCTCCTGACTAAAATGCAATATTTTCTTTCCCAGTAAATTGTGGCCGAAAAACGCTGGGTGACGATGCCTACTATTGCAACAAGGAACTGGTGAACCTGCTCATCTTCGACGCCAAGGTGACGAATTCCAGTTACGGCGTTTGGCGATTTGAGAGCGATGAGGAGCGCCAGTTGATAGAGCGATTTGGTGCTGATCTGCGATTTGTGGCCACGATGAGCGGCCTGACGCGCTGGCAGTTTATCTTTGGGGAGGTTGAGGTAGAGACGGATCGGGAATTCGGGGACTACCATACCAAGGCCATTGATGAAACCTGGTACAAGAGCGCCATCCTGCAGCACCATGAAGACCGAACGGAGAGCTTCGTCTACTCGGTGAAGCACTACACTGATCACATGGAAAACAACGAGGTTAAGATCACCGCCTCGCATGCCATATTTCCAAGGGACGGCGGCAAGGAGGCGCCCGCCTGCGTGGTGGGCTTCCAGTTCTCCCACGCCCGCATGTGGGAGCGATTCTTCAGCATCACCGCAGTGGATCATGTATGTATTAAATACCTTCACAACATATTTTTAGTTTAATTGGGGTCCACCGCCAACAATGTACTTTAAAATTATATGTATTTCACAATTTTTGTTGTACAAAAACTAATAAGAAATCCATGAAAATCTTTGATTTGTTCAACATTGGTAATTCCTATCATTAAGAAAGCTGTTAAATCTAAATCTATCTATTTATTTTGCCGTTATTTTATTATACATTTTTGGATTATGTAATGCTTTGAGAAATGACGTAAATAACATTTTTATTATTTCTAATCAAATTGTCACATTTGTATAGGTGAAGTTACAATACTATTGAATTAAAGTTAGAAAGTAAACTAATATTTCTAAAATTTCTAAATTCTAAATGCTCTTAATTTTCAGTGCGACAGTTGCCTGCCCATTTGCACGGACGACGATGTGGATTGTGTGGTCATTGACAATAATGCGTACATCGTGATTGGCCAAAACATCAACACCACTGGCAAGTTCTTTGGTGAATTCCACGGCGACGTGATGGCTGCGATGGTCGAAAAAGGCATATTTCTGAGCATTGAAGTCTACGATTATCAGGAACAGTGCAAGGAGGAACCAAAAGCGGGCAGCTATGGCCACGGTCTTTTGCATGTATGTCACAAACAATTTATTTAATACCCAGATATATCTAATTTACATTTGATTCAACTCAAGCCCCTAAGACTGTTGACTCTTGGCTGGAAATGGCTAGTGGGCAGGCTCTTCTTTCAATACCAGCGCATTCAGTGGTGGGCCGATGGAGCACCATGTAAGTGTTTAAAATTTAAAATAATTTGATTCACCCGAAAAAGTAAAATCTTCATTTTATATTAAGGAATTTTAATATGGTTGGGGTTCGCAAGATTTTGTAATGTTAGAATACTATAATTATAACATTTAAAATTATCTTAACTTAAACCAATTAGTTTTTATTGATTTTAATGAAACATAATTGAAAAATATAATTAAAATTAAGCTGTTGAGATTATATAAAATCAACAAAAGAGTAGGTTTTGGTTGACATTTTTTAAAAAAAAAAGGTAACTTTATGAATTCCTTCTCAGTTATGGAATACACGGATGAGATCGAGGACGAATATGTGGCCGTGGGCGATGGAGGAAAAGCTTCGGCTTCCAAGCCAAAGGAGGATAGTGATGACGAAAACGCCATGTTCGATGAACCCGAACCGGATCCCATTTACGAGGCCTGCGACATGCGATCCACTCTGTACGCCTTGCAGCCCAGTGCTTTGGTGGGCATCAATGACTTCGTACAGGCGCCTTCAACGCGACCCTTCCTGGTCAAGAAGATCCCCAACTCCAACCTGGTCCTGGTGGTGGTCAATGTCCTGATGCCGTCGCGCAGTGTTCGCCTGACCACCGAACCCCAGCGAATGGAATATACGAATCAATTTCCCTGCTACAAGCTCAACATGAGCTTCTACGAACGGCGACGCATCGAAGAGTGCTACACGGAGCACGAGGATGTGAGTATTGTAGTGGTATTACCTCTGTTCTCTGATGATCTGGATTACAATTTTTATACCCGTTACTCGTAGAGTAAAAGGGTATATTGTATTCGTGCAAAAGTATGTAACACCTAGAAGGAAGCGTTTCCGACCCTATAAAGTATATATATTCTTGATCAGGATCACTAGCCGAGTCGATCTAGCCATGTCCGTCTGTCCGTCTGTCCGTCTGTCTGTCCGTCTGTCTGTCTGTCTGTCTGTCTGTCTGTCCGTATGAACGCTGAGATTTCGGAAACTATAAAAGCTAGAAGATTGGCATTTTGCATGTAGATTTTAGAAGTTCCTACGCAGCGCAAGTTTGTTTCAAAATGGTGCCACGCCCCCTTTAACGCCCACAATCGCTTATATACGATTTTAAAAATTTAAATATTTCGGAAAAGTAAAAATGCAGTTTTATTGTGTTTATCAATACCTATCGAAATGTAGAAGAAATTTTTCAAATCGGACCATTCGTTAAAAAGTTATGCGTGATCAAAGTTTCTATCTCCATCTCCCTCGCACTCCCTTTACCTGAGTAACGGGTATCTGATAGTCGGGGCACCCGACTATAGCGTTCTCTCTTGTTAGTTCTTTATTTTGGCTCATTTATATTGATTGTTAAGACTAACAATAACCGCTCTTAAAATTTCCTAACCAGAACTGCACTGCTCTCGCTTGAACCTCTAACTACTTCAAAATCAAGGAGGAAAATTTGCAATTTTTATTTTTATAATCCCAATTTTTACCTTTATTTTTAGGAGGAACTGTACACCTATTGCGGCAATGCCTCGCGGCTGGGTTTGACGCTTCAGCTGCTGCCGCTGACCATAATTTTAATGTTTTACCTAACGCACAGCTTTATGCGTTAAGGGATATGTACACAAAACTATATATTATACAACTATTATGTACTATACGCGACTACGATCGGTTTGTTGTTTATACATATATATATATATTTTGTTTTCTATAGATTTTAAACTATGCCGTAGTCCAATACTTGTCGAATGTTTAACAACAACGCAAACCAAACAAAAACAGGCACAATCTTCGGTACTAAAAACCACTATAAGCAAGAACAATTTCAACTTTTAGACTTACAAACTGCGCCAAAAGTTATGAAACTGGTTTTACTTTATAAATGTAGTGAATCGATGGAGGCTGCTGCTAACAGAAGAGGCAACTTAAAGACCAACCATTTTAGAGGAGTAACCCCTTTTCACACGATGAGTTACCTTGTCCCAAAGCTGCTCCTTCAACCGTTTCTTAGAATATTAAAGAAAACCACGTTTTTTTATATACATACATACCTAACGCCTATAGATAAACAAAAAACAACGTTTCACTGACTATTTTGATAGATTAATATGGTGCAACCAATGCCAAATATTAAATGAATAATTAGCAAAATTAGTAAATGCGAACAAAAATAATTCGAATGACAATTATTTTTGTAATTTTATAAAACTTAGTTGATTTTTTACAACAATAAAAATGTATAAATATAATAATACGAGGAAACGATGAAAGAACAAAAACAAGACACAAAACACTTACTTTTATTAGGAAAATGTTTTCCTTTAGTCCCAGCCGAAAAGAATGAATATGGTTTTCTTTTTGTACACAAACAAAGACGGCTTACAACAGATAATATTTAATGTTAACATGGCAACATTTTTAATATGTTTCCTTCTTGTTTTGTAAAATGTATTTTATTGAAATAATGTTTTTAAAACGGCAAAGTTAACGCACAGATTTATAAAAACCAATTATAGGACCACCTGTAAAGTATGCAATACTTGTTCAACGCTGAGTTTGAAAACCCATCTATAATTTACTGCTCTCTTCAGGCCTTACTCTTAGTCGAACATCTTTAGCAGGTTTTACACAGAAGATGGAACGGAAAACCAAACCTAAAAGAATACCAAAACCTAATTGCCTTTGTATCGTATTTCGAATGTGGAATCAATTTATGAACTTTATGAATTTATGCATAGAAACCAAAAAAAAAAAACAAAAATGTAACATTATATGGAAAACAAGTTAAATTAAGATTATTTTCAAGGAAATGAAATCAAAATGAAAACGGCGTTTTTAAAGCTGAGATAAGATGCTAGAATGAATGGAAGGAAATGAAAGAAAACAGTTAACTATTAAATGTAATTTTTTAAATAAACTGAATTACTAATACAACATTTATTTTTTGGAGTGTTTAAAAGTTGTAAAATGTATAAAAAATATTACATAAAAATCTAGTCTTAATGGTATACGTGGATTTGCTACAAGTTCATCATCCAATTAATATTCATCTCTATGAGTTAACGACTCTTTTTAATCACATTTTATTAAACTTCAACACGTATACACAATGTATATGACATGTCCACTTAAACTACAAAACGATAAACATTTTAAAATTTCCTTAGCAAAATAAATGAACTAACCGTCGACAAATATTTTTAAGTTTTTCAATTTGGGTTTGGTCCTGTGTAAAGGTGAGTGAAAAATTTCTGGAACTATTTTAAGATTCGGAAAGGTCTTAAAGTTTTGTTAGAAATTAATCATCAGACTACCATAAGAAAAACCATTCATTAAACAATACCGAACGTCGCTACATTTTTTAATGTCTAGCATTTATTTAACGATAAACATAAAAAGAACCATGGCTCATTGATTATTAACTTCAGTTACATATTTAGACATGCTTAGGCGGACTTTGAGAACAGATACGATGAAATTCCTCCAGTAAAAGTTTGAAAATGTTGGTGCTTACCAATTTGACTTTATTTCTGAAAGAATGGGTTTAGCATATCAATAAGGTCTGCGACATGGATCACATGGAATATGATAATATTCTGGCCGTCATATTTATATAGATTTTTGGGAAAGGGTGACGTCTTATCTATGGACCACGCCTGAAGATTTATTCAGAGAAGAAAGTGTCGCACCTTTGATATGGATTAACCTTTGATGAAGTGGTTAAACCGCAACTGATCGGATCAAAATGTTAATGTCGTGTTCATCGTTTTTCTTTGACAAAAACTAAATAAACACTCGGTAAAATAAACCTATTGGCGAAAACTCTCTAGAACAAATAAATTCAACACTAAAGCGTTCTTATGTTACCCGAAAAACAGGTATCATTATTTTCCTTTCATTCGAAAAAATTTAATGCACAGGTCAATAATTTTAATATAGATCATTTTATTTCCTTGTAATGACTAACATTTTAAAAAATTACAATTCAATATTTTGGATAAATTATTTTGTAAGCATTGTATTTGTTTTTATTTTCGGCTTGTGTTTTTTCTTCGTGCCTCTTCATCATCTCCTTCTCACACACTATAATTTGTTAATTTGTTGTTTACAATAAGATTTAATTTTTTTTCATGTTCATTTTCTCAATTTTTATTTTTTTGTTGCTGCTGGTTAGAAGTATTCTTTTTATTTGCTTGGTTACTGCTTGCAATTGTTGAGTTTGAATGTATGTAGTCATTAATGTAAAACGTTGAAGTTCTATTATACATATATATATTTACTTATATATGTATAGATTTATATCTTTAAGTCACACATAGATGCATAAGTATTCATGCATGCATGTGCGAGGCGGATTGGTATTGTATTGTTCAAATAAGCAATGTGTTTAGCATATAAAAAGAAGGCTCTCATATAAATAAATGTATTTTGCACAAAGTAAGTTAAAAATCAAATATCTATTTAGATATATGATTTGCTTCGTTGATAGCTAAAAAGTGTCCACAGTAAAAAAAAAAAAAATCAGTAAAATATAAATCGAGCAGATTTCGGGGGCTAAGCTCCAAACTAATATGCGATTAAGTACATTTTCCCGTTTAGGCTTATGACTGTTAAGTAGATATTTCATTCTCTTCACCCTACACTTTTATCTAGATAGCTCTCTGAAGAATTTCATAATATTTTGTTGTTTGCTGTTTTTTGGTTTAACATTTAATTATTTTGGTTCTTCCAGAATAGTTTGTTCCAGAACAACAGCTTTTAACTACTTGGACGAGCCTTCTACAACCATTTAATGGGGTATATGGGCCGCTCATAATTTAATATATGCGTATAAGTCTGTTTTTATATGCTGAAGGTACAAAATTAAACTCTTTTTTAGCTTGATACGGGGCGGCTGAATCAAATCGTAAAATAACATAAAATTACATTAATTAATACATACAAATTACACAATTTTTGCCAATACATTTCATTTTGAGATTTGAGGTTAATAATTACTGGGGCTGTGATTCAATTTCTCCGTCTATGTTTTTGGGTTCTCTGTGGTACTTGATTATTTCCATTCTCGCTTTGTTGCCTTTCAATTCATATTTTCTTTACTTTTCTGTCCGCTTTCTTTTTTTTTGTTTTTGAAAAAATGAACACTTTTTATCTGGTGGGAATATACATATGGTTTTGGAAATCTATTGCACAGAACAGGAATTCTTATGGCCATTTTTGTGCTTTAGCCGCGCCTTTGGCTTGTATTTTTCCAAAAACGATAGCTGCTTGGCATTGATAGCGCCACGTCGTTTACTAGAAGAATGTGAATATTAGGTAAATATTACAATTTTTCTTTTTTAAAGTACTCACTCCCTAATCATTTCCACAGCTGCCTCGTATTTCAGGCCCAATTCGATCAGTGCCAAGGCAACAAGGACAGGAGCTCGTCCCAGACCAGCCACGCAATGAACGGCGACGCAAGCCTCCGGATTTTGTTGATATCTGAAAAATACAAGGAAATATTATTTAAAATATGGTAAAAAAGTTACCTATTCTTACTGTAATTATAAGCAACATTTTCTTTTTAGGCTGAGCCCAGTAAATCTATATCTACGCTTACCGACAAGTTTCATTATCAACAAATGCAGTATTATTATAAATTGCTGATGCTGCCTCGCCAGTATCATTGAGATTATCATTGGCTGTTAGGGGAATTGTATCTGTGGCCCGACCTGATGTTGCAGATAGACTGGCTCTGGTTGCTGAAGTTCTTATTGCAGTTGCAGTTGCTGTTGTTGGTGGAACTGTTTTTGGTATGTGTCTGAGCGAGAATCGCTTATGTTTGTAGTAGGATAGTGTGGCGCTTGTGGACTTTCTAAAACTAGGGCACAGCAGCAGCGGTATCATAAAATAGCACACGAAACGAATCATATAGGAAGGTAAGGTAAGTTCTCGTTGATCAAGTTTAAGAGTTTACAGGTATTACATTTTATTTATGATGGGTGGAATTAGAAATTTTTACAAAACGAAAACGTTGAGAGAAGTATGTTAGAAGGAATGTGCAAAAGTTTTGATCTAACTAAAATCTGTACAGCAACTTATAACTGATGAGCATTTGAAATCAAACAAAGTTAAGCAGCTAAGGCTATGGCAGGGACTACAAGCGAGGTTCTATACATCTTCTGAATGTTCTTTTCTTTATTTGTGTGATTTTATTTTTTTTAACAGCTCATTGGATATGTGGCTAGCGCAGCTTTTCGATTTTCGTTGGCTTTTTTTTCGTTTCAATTTAGTAAGGCTTGTTTTTCTTTCGATTGAGTGGCACAAAGCAATAAATAATACTGAATAAATTGATAAAAACCACTTGAGGTCATTTTTTTATATTCGCGTAGTTAATATAATTTATGAAATCTTGGAAATTATATTTAAAATGAAATAATACAATATAAATACATATGTCTAAACTAAGTTTAGTAATGAAACTATTTGGACTGGAGCTGTGATTTTATTGCACTAATATTTTATATTTACTAAGTGGTTTAGTTAACGATTCAAAATATTAGTAGATGTTTTTAAATTAAGGCGATTGAATATTTTCTAATCCAGAATTAGTTTTCAATATGACAAGTTCTACGGTACGTTGATGTAAATTAGTTCAGAGCTCCAGTTGGTTTGTGAAATCTAAACAAATGTCTTACGCTCAATGTAACAAATGAGATTTCAATTTAAAGATAGAATTAGGTAAATAATCTACGCAAGTGCAAAAGCTTTGTCACGGTGCTTACTTATCCTTTAAGACCTCAAACCACTCGTCAACGACTTGTTGAGGCGGGAAGGTGCCGTCCTCAAAGGCCAGGTCCTTGACAGTAATGCCTTGTGTTTCGAGCTCATCGGTATTATAGCTGGGCTCGCACACACGAACGACAGTGTTGACATTGTTCTTTTTTAGCTCCTACAAGAATAATTTAAAAATTAGTTTGGATTCGGATTAAGACAAGAGATTGAGAGTTTGGCTCACCATAACGTAATGACTAATTGTGATATCTGATGGTCGATCGGTGATTAGGAACTTCATGCCCTTGTACTCAATTAGAGCAGGGGCTGGGCGCAGATCTTTTTGACGCATGGTGATGCTCATAAACAATTACAAAAGCAGTTCTGAAGAAGTTAATCTGACTTGTGTGCACTTATGTTAAGTCTGTTACTTTCTTACAATCTGAAGGTGTGGTTTTTGTTTGGTTTTCACAAAGATTTGATTGGTTTTGAAACGGAAGTAGTTTGATTTCTAGATACAAAATTCAGCGTGTTAGAGGCTTAAAATTGAATTTCGTTTAGGTTTGAGTTATGTATAAAAAATAAATATAAGTATAATTAACTCTGTTTTCGTATCGTACGCTTAAATATTTTACACCAAAACACAAACCTAAAGTAATTTATAAGTAAAAGTGAAGGTATTCTTTTTAATTAAGTACAATTTTGGATTTTTCTTTTATCACAAAGAAAATCAATCAATTTTCTGTGACCGAAAATGATTCCCTGTTAAGTGTCACACGTATTTTAAGCTAACAAAATGATTTGGGTTTAGTTTTAGTTTTGTTTTCGAAAATATTACAACTTTTTCTTAGTTTCGTTGTTATAAATTAAAATATATCCTTGCTGTGATATGATCGGCGATCACCGCGATGCTAAAAATTTAGTTTTTTTCTTTCTCTCCCATAGATTGACAGATTTTGGCTATTTGGGGCCTCTGCTGTCGCTATTTCAGCTGATCCGTTGACTTTATTTAGCTGATCTGATCCACACCACTTATCGAAGTCGACTTCCGAAGAGGTGACAGCGTTCACTCAGGCTATCACCGCCTTGTTTGAGGATTGCTTACCTGCAAAGAATGAGACATGAATGAGTTGAATTCCACACAAATCTGGTGCTAGTCGGTTCCAGTTTCTTTGTTAGTTTTCTCTTTGTTCATTCAATTGAAAACAATTCGTGGGAAACTAAAAAACAATTTAGCTCAATTACACGCAATGAAATAATTGAGACTTTCGCCATTTTCGCCTCCCACTCTCCATTCCTCCCTTGCTCCCTTATTTTTAAGGGCTGGTGAAGCCGCCAATTGTCCAAAAAGGTCATGGCGTTTAATTTACACTAAGTCAAGTCAAGTGACCTTTCCATCATCACCCACTCGCCAGCCCGCGCAACTTAAGCCAATTAATAA